AAAAAAAAAAAAAAGAAAAAAAAGAAAAAAAAGAAAGAAAGAAAGAAAGAAAAATGATTTAAGAACAACTTTTTTTATTACTTATTTATACAACTTTACATGTTATTTAAATAATTAACTCTTTTTATTGGTGGGTTTGTCTAACTTCTGCTTAAGGGCACAAGTTAAGAATGTAATAAATATATTTTTTATAATAAATTTGTGTAAAAAAATAAAAGTTAACCTTTAAATTTTAACTGTTTAATTAAATTCATCCATTTAACATTGATACTAAATTTAATATCAACTTTTACATTTTTTATATAGATTTATGATTAAAAAAAAAAGTATCCTAAATTTATAAGTTAGAAAAACCTTTTACTCATTTGGGATCTATGATATTATCTACATTAACTCATTAAATGACATGTGAAAATTGTATAAAAAGTGATACAAAAATGTTGTCCCTATATTACCTAAAAAAAAGAGAAAGAAAAGAAAAAATGAAAGGAAGCCTCAAGTGACATAGGGACAACTTTTTTCTTTTCTTTCTCTATATGTTTTTTTTTTTTTTTGGGGATATAAGGATAACTTTTTATACTATTTTTTATACAACTTTCACATATCATTAAATAAGTGAATGCACTTAATATCATAAGTTTCAAATAAATAAAGGGTTTTCTAACCTGTGTCCTCACAAGTTAAGGGTATTTTTTTATTATAAATGTATTTAAAAAATGTAAAAATTGACATTAATTTTAGTGTCAATGCTAAATAGGTGAATTAATTAAACAGTTGAAAAATTAAATATTAACTTTTATTTGTTTAACACAAATTTATTAAAAAAATACATGTATTACATTTTTAACTTGCACCTTAAGGTATATATTAGACAAATTCATAAATAAATAAAAAAAAGTCAATTATTTAAATGATATATAAGATTGTACAAAAAAATGATATATAAGATTGTACAAAAATCTAAGGACTTATATGCATCAATTAAAGTCTGGAGGCTAAATAGCAATTCTAGGATTAGTTCAAGGGCTTAACTTATAGTTTTACCTAGAATTTTTGTGAAAACTACAACACTTCATTAAAAAAATTGATTTGCTATAACTATTAATTTTAAGGTTAAAATCCCTTTTTGGTCCCTAAACTATTGTACGAACCTCCGATTTGGTCCCTGAACTAAAAAAATCCCTGATTTAGTCTCTACTATTTATCATTTTTACCCCGATTTGGCCCTTCCATTAAAAATTGTGTGACGTGGCCTGTTACTTCACGGTTACCAGATGACATGTCATATAGTAATACACGTGGAAGATAATATGACAAAAAAAAGTGATGATGTGGAAAAAATAATAATATAAAAACATATTATGAAAAATAAAACTTAAAATTTTTTTTCTTTTTCCTTCCCTTTCCCTTTCTCTTTCTCCTTCCCCTTTCCCTTCTTTTTCCCCTCGGAACCCAACAGTCCTAGGTTCCTTCAAACCCACCTAGGCGTTGGGTTCCTTGCGAACCCAGGCGTTGGGTTCCTTGCGAACCCAGGTGCAAAAAATTAAAAAAAAAAAATTATGTTTTTGTTTTTTGGATTTTGTTGTTTGATTGTGATGAAAAATTGATTGATGAAGATGAAGAAGGCAAGGCTAGGCAGTCGCTAGGTTACTGCAGGTGCTGGGTTCGACACTGGGTTCGATTTTTCAATTTTGAACCTAGCAGCCGCTAGGTTTTTGCAGGTGCTAGGTTTCATTTCAAACCCAGCAACTGCTAGGTCAATGGAACCTAGCGGTTGCTAGGTTTGAGCAACGGCTGGATTCCTGCAAGTGAGGCTCTGGGTTCCATTTCAAACCCAGCAGCCGTTGGGTCAAGTATCTATTGAGTTTAATCTGTTGATTTGTTAGGTTATCCTCGAATTTAATATTAGGAGTTAGGGTTTGCAGAAGGTGAAAGGAAAGGGAGAGGAGAAGAAAAGGAAAAAGGAAAAACAAATAAGAAAAAAAAAAAGGAATAAGAAACTTTTTAAGATTTTTTTCTTGCCATCTCATTTTTTTTGCCACGCTGTACATCCTAGGTGTCAAAATGCTTTTACATGTCATCGTTTTCCCGTCAAGTAACAGGACACGTAGGTTGATATTTGACGGAAGAATCAAATCGGGGTAAAAATGGTAAACAATAGTGACCAAATTAGGGATTTTTTTAGTTCGGAGACCAAATCGAGGGTCCATACAATAGTTTAGGGACCAAAAAGGAGTTTTAACCTAATTTTAATTAATGTTGCATAATATATTAATGATAGTAATTTACTTATTTATAACACTTATTTCATATTAATTATCAAATATTAACCTTCTCAAAAATAAATAATTAAATATTAACATAATATTTTTTATACATAAATAAATATTAAAAAAATGTTTTATAAATAAATTGTCAATTAAAAATATAATTTATCTTATCAATTTATTAAAATATCTTTAATAAAATAATTTATTAAAAATATTTTAATAAATTTATAAATTAAATTACACTTTTAAATCTAACTTTTAATACATAGTCCATATATAAACCCCTGACTATTTACATAGTTTTCCACCACAATCCAAAGTCTTTTCTATTGACAAAGAGTTGCTCAACCAATGTTCTTAATAAACAATTATGCACACATGTAGTTGACACACCAACCGATTGGTTAAAGCCTCAAAAAATAGGTTAATGTACCATTTTGATCCCTCAACTTTTCACTTTGGTATCAAAATTTTCCCTCAACTTTAAAAAATATCAAAACTATCCTTAAACTTTCATTTTCGATACTGAAACGGTCCTTTCGTCAGTTAAATAACATATGGCATGTTAAGTTATTAAAAAATTATACTTTTGTTTAAAAAATATTGACGTGAAAAAGAAAACATATGTAAGTTGATGAGTTGACACTTTTTTTTGTTTACGTGGCATTTTTAATTTTAACAAATAAATAAGAGATTAATTATTATTAATTAATTAAAATAAGTTCCAAAATTAACCTTCTTCTTCCTTATTCTCTTGTTCTTCTTCACCCTTCCCCTTTCTCTCTCTCGTCCCTAGGCCTGTTCTTCTTCACTCTTCCCCTCTGTCTCTCTCTCGTCCTTGGGCCATCATTCCTTCTCCATCTCCTCCAACATCTCTTCCTGTAACTGCACCAAACCGGAAGTCTTTCTTCAGTCCGTATCTGCACTCTGGATTAACCTGCAAAGCCCCGAGGTGGATCCTCGGGGTAGACACTCCGATGCTTAAGTCAGCAATAATCGGGGTTACCTTTGAAACGGGAAAACAAGGAGCTTAGGGTTGGTTTCAATTACCTTTTGGCGTGGCCCTTAAGAGGTATTTATATGTTTCGATGCAGAATCCACGCGGCACGCCAATCAAGATGCCAAGCAAGATATCCGGGATCCGATGTGTATCTCCAGGCAGTTAGTTCGGGACCGGGAGATTGAGCTAAGCAAAATATCCGGGATTTGATATGTATCTCCCAGCAGTTATTTCGGGA